GGGGCATTTCTCGTTCATGCACAGTAGAATTGTAAATGGGCTGATTCATCAATGTCACGCTCATAACTGTGCCGGATCTACAACAGGGAACTGCAGCTTTTTCTTTCCTAATCCTTACTATAGTAATTTTCCTCTACTTCTTTTGTATGTTTGTCACACTCTTGTGACCCACTATTTCCGGGGTGCCTTGATAGTCGAAGCAGACTTTGTGCTGTTGAAGCTTAAGAGGTGAGCAGAGTAAGTCTGACTCCCTGTAAGGACTTCTCTGTTGACATCCACCCCTCGACGCTCATATGACCTTAAAATGCAGTTGCGAGCGCCGTTAAACCTCTACTAAAACTAAAAAAAACCCCAACTAAGCTCATATGACCTTATGCAGTTGCGAGCGCCATAAAACCTCTACTAAAACGAAAGGAAGAGGAAGACACCCTTCTCCCGGAGGGGAAAATGAAATCCACTGACCTATCCTGATGGAAGAGTACACAAAGCCGGCGAGGGGGCCGAACGCCTCTGTGATGTAGGCGTACTCCACGCCCTCGCGCCTCACAGACTCTCGGAGCTCGGCGAAACACAGGGCAGCTGTTTCATACAGGTGTGGAACGCGAGGACATAGAGAAAAATTAGAATAACATGAACTAAATGTTGTTATTATAATAATGATAATAATAATGATAACAATAATAATAATAATCCTGATAATAATAATGATCATAAAATGATATTAATGATAGTCTAGTAATGATGATAATATTGATGATAATAATAATAATAATAACCTTAACAACAACAACAATCATAATAATAATAATAATAATAATAATAATAATAATAATAATAATAATAATAATAATAATAATAATAATAATAATAATAATAATAATAATAAGGATGAACTATTCATAATTGCATTTATATAGCGCATATTATTTATTATCCATGCTCTGCAGCATGTTATTTGAGCTTTACAAATATTATTACCCCCCCCCCCCACCCCACCCACACCCCCACCCCCCGCAGACCCCAGAGCACTCAAAAACAATCTCGTCTTCCCGGGAAGCACACAGCGTGATTTTAAGTTTTAGTAAGAGTTTCACAGCACTTGTAAGTGTTGGAGATTAGAGGTGTCGGTAGAGAGTAACAAACCAAGTAAAGAAGGAGGGGAGATAAGGACGATAGAATGATGTCTGATGGGAAATAAGGAGCAAACTACACCAAGAGTACCCGCCAACACAGTGCAGCATAACCATGGATGAAATAGATAGATAGATAGATAGATAGATAGATAGATAGATAGATAGATAGATAGATATATTTATATATTATATAATAATATACATAATGATATAGATAGATGGATAGCTAGTTAGCTAGATGGATAGATAGATAGATAGATACTTACCACACATACTGAACATCCCAGCCAGAGTCCACATGACCATGCACATCCCCACAGAGCCGACACCCGCCAACACGCCTTTGGGGGTGCCGAATATACCAGGACCTGCAAGGGAAACAATATTATTCCTTGCGATAAAATTCTATTGTTTTGTTTCAGGTCTTGATTGATTACAAATGATTGTAATGTTGTTGTTTTTTGTTGTTGTTATTGGGTAAGTCTTTTACGGCACTCGCAACTGCATAAGGTCATATGAGCGCGCAGGACACATAAAACTTTTTCAGCTGGTAGTTAGGAAATGTTGAATTTTGCCCGGGTGGCAACGAAGCCTACTTTTATCGATTCTAGACCACCAAGAGATCTTAAACATGCACAACTTGCACACGGGACCTCCGAGATTTTTCGCCCTTGTCCGAGAAGGCTAGTTGTAGATGGTGTGGCTGAAAGACTGCAATAAGAAGGAGCCAAGGACTGGCAATAGAAAGACTGCAGGAAGAGTCAGGTGCCCAGAGGAGGGGGGGGGGGGGGGCAAATGAGGTGGGGGCAGAAAGTGGAGATTCGAACCCGGGACCTTTGAATGAGAGGCGGACACCTTATCCTCTAGGCCACGAGAGAACCCGATTGTAACATGTTGCGCACCCATGGCCACAATAAAGGACAACGTTTGCCAACATTTGCGGGTGCTAAATATGCCGGGACCTGGATGGGAAGAAATCACCCCTGTGTTTCAAATCAATTTTTCGTTCATTTACTTTTTTTGTTACTTTATTACAAATTAAACGATTGCAAT